GAACAACGGTCACAAGCTGGCAGAGGGTAGATTTAGGTTAGACATCAGAAGACGCTATTTCACGGTCAGGGCGGCTAGGGTCTGGAACCAACTTCCAAGTGAGGTGGTGCAGGCTCCTACCCTGGGGGGTTTTAAGAAGAGGTTAGATGAACACCTTGCTGGGGTCGTTTGACCCCAGTACTCTTTCCTGCCATGGCGGGGGGTCGGACTAGATGATCTTCTCAGGTCCCTTCTGACCCTAGAAACTATGAAACTATGAAACCAGCTCCCCTCCCCATGCCTGCAGAGACTCAGTTTCAAATCACTTACACCGAGACTGGGACAAACGGGCTGTTTCATTTCCTGGTAGGAGCATTAAACAGAACAAGATCATCCAAGCTCCTGATACTTGTCATAGCTTCAGGGAATTTAAATTCTACTTAGTCCTGCAAGGTGCAATCCAGTAATAACACTGATTTCCTGTAACAAGATATTCCACTCCCACAGAGCGCAAGGGTCCAGGGCTCCACATACTTACACATGAAGGTAACTTCATCCCCCCTACTTATTTGCACATGCAAAAGGTGAATCTCAAGCATCAGTGTTTTCAGGATCAGGACTAGGGTTGTATATGGGCAATCCATTCACAGTAACATCCATGTGAAACATTGGATCATAGACCTACGCCTCATTTGAATTATGTCAATTTGATACTGATGAGTCCAGACTGTGCTTAGTTTTCATTTTGTAATTGTCATTATGAAAAACAATATGAAAAATGACACATATGATGAAGCAGAGAAGGATTTTATATTTTATCTTTGACAAACTTTAATGAGAAACATCAATGTTTATTTCTAGTGTGTGTGTTTTTTTTCAAATGATTGCCAAAATTGCTTGCTTTGACAGGAAACAAAAGACCCCTCAGACACTAATTGTCATTTAAACAAAAAATGAATGTCTTTCCCTTCTAAGATGGCCTTCAAAACAGACACTAAAATAAAATGATAATGTTCTGTAAAATTAATGTACTTTAAAACGATGAATAGTATAGGTTTTTATGAGTGTACACAGTTATTGTTTTTAAGCAATATTTACTTTCTTTGTAAATGTCAATGAATATATATTTTCTCTCTTGCTGTTGTTTTTAGTAAAGGAAAAGACTGACTCATACACAGAAACCAGCTATATACTTCCAGGTCAATAGATTTTATTTTAGGTTAGAGGGAAACAGCAAAACAAGAAATAAAAAATGTACAGTCCTAGTGGCAGAGCAGAGTGGGCACTTCTCCTTTGCAACAAGTTGTGCTAAATCTGAGAACAAAATACCTACTGTCACTAGAGGTTCTTAGATACTGGAAGATGCAAGGCGCAGAAAATAAGTACCATATTTCCTCATATACCACGCTGCCTGGAATATAATACATGCCTTGTTTTTGAAAGGCAGAATGAAGAAAAACAGATATTTGCTTGCAGTAAGTAACTGAGTCACAGCAGCTAGGGAGCAGGGTCTGCTCGTTGTTCTGATCCTTGAGTCAGGTGCAGATTTTACTTCCACTTTTGCCTGTAACTAGCAGAAATTGTTCTTACTGTATTTCTCACATAAAATGCACAGTATGACATCCAGCAGCTGATTTTTTTGGGTGGGGGAAGTGTGTTGTATGTGAGAAAATACGGTAATATAATCTGATAGCTACTGATACCACACTACCTGCTGATCCAAATATAATCCTTCCAACCCTTACCTAAAACTCTCCAGGCAGGAACTGATCTGTCATTTGATTTGTCTGTCACCATGCACAACTGTGGGGTTGCAAAAAAATAAATGGTAAGTGTACCTATGATTCAACAGTGTCTTTTAAAAGCAGAAAAGATTTGTGGTTTATGAATATGTATTACGCTCTGTTCTGATGATCATTCTCCTCTAATTCCCTCTTTTTCACTCTCCTACAACTGCTAAGCCCCGCTGTAACTGTCCTCTGTGTATGATCAGTGCAGATTGCCAACGTGCTGTCTTGTGGTTTTATTTAATCTTTCTGCATTTGTCCCTTGGTATCAACTGTCACCCTCATGTGTCTATTGAAGCTCGACACAATGCAGAATTCAGTATTGCCAAAGCCAAGCATCTAAAAATGCGAAGTTGGACCCTCAAAAAAAAAAAAGCATGAGATTAGCTTCAAAATCTTGACATTTGTTTAAAAAGTCATAAATGCCAGGTCCTTTCTATTTTCAGTCTGGCATTTCTGGGCCTTGGGAGTCACATTTTTAAGTTCTTCTTCAAAGCCCCCAGAGCTCGAGTCTTTTATTAAAATAAAAGCAGAGATTCTTTTGCCACAATGTGATGCCAGGAGCTGCAGCTTTCAAATGAACACCCAGTGTCACAAGATGCATAATAGCATCACGGAAGTCAGCAACACTGAGACTCATATATTAAAAGAACAGGAGCCACCAGCAGTCAGGGGGACTGTGGGAAGGAGGAGACAAGCAGGGCTGAGCTAAGGCCAGGAGGGTGAGCAGGACGCACTGACAGTGCTCGGTGTAATGCAGAGTCGGTAGGCAAAGCCAAGCTGCACTCGCTCGTCCAGGGAGCCCCTTGGAGCCCAAGGATACATTGAGAGGTGGGAGCAACGTCTTTGAGGTCTTGCTGGGAGGAAGAGCTGGGGTCTTGCAAAGGGGTCTTCTACTTTAAGGAGCTATGTTTTAGAAGCCCAAAGCCTTACTTATTGTTGTCCCCCTGCTAATTAGCACATCCTGCCCTAATTGGTCCAGATTAGAGACTACAAAGCTGCCGTGTAGGAATCCAACCTGTCCCCTGCCACTTGAGCCCAGACCTCCTGTGAGGCTCTCCATTAGCTCCTAACAGTTCAGGTACCTAACATAGAGCTCTGAGTCCATCTAGCAAAGGGCAGAGGGCACACAGACATGCCAGCCAGCTCATCAGGGAGCCAGGATGTCTTCCATGATGTGCCAGCCTCTCTCAGAGGGAATGAGAAAATGACTGGCACATCCTCTTTACGCAGATGAACACCGAAGCCCGGAGTGATAAACAGGACCTGTTACTACTGAGCCAGACTAGGTTAGCCTAGGTAGCAGCAACCATTGCAGAAACCTGGGTTACTCTATGCAGCGTTTCTATTCCTCCTGTTACCTCATCACAAATGCCTTTTCTGAGGTGCCAGGCTAAGGGGAAACCACTTTGCCGCTTTCCTGTCAACACTGTGTTGCTGCAAAGTGCCAAAAAGGTAATTAATCCTAGGCTGACCTCTTTCAGTGCTGCCGCTGCCCCCTCTCCTCTCACTGGAGAACTGGCTGTCAGGAGAGCACAGCGCTGAGGACAGGGATAAAAAGCAAGCCAGCAACATAAGGAGGCACGTGAACGAAAGCCCTGCTTCCTGCAGCCGGCTGCCCACATGCAAGTGCCTTCCACCGGGAGTGCCCAGCTCACAGGCACCAACTTCTGACGAGAAAGAAGGGAAAAAGAGAAACCAGCCCAGAGCAGAAGGTAGCTAGAGATGCATTCAGACCCCTCTGAGCTCTAAGGTGCTCATCACACCGCTCCCCCGGCCTGGCCATCTTGGGTCACATTGGTTCAAACAAGAGCACAAGCCAAAGGCAGGGGGGAATTCAGAAGCTGCCCAGCTTGAGGATGTCCCCACACATTTCCATCATTGTTACTGCAGCAGGTCCAACATTTGCAAGCCCTGAAAGATCAGTGGAACATGTCATAATTTGACCAAAAGACTGAGCACAAAAAAGTCAATGGCATTTTCACCAATGATTTCCCTTTTAACAATTTACAGAACCAGGGCAAATTTGATGAATTCTGATGTGTATTTTGAAGCAAAAAAAGAACGAAAGAAAGAAAAAAATTCCAGGATTTTAAAAAAATGAACATGGTTCATTGTTTCCCCCTCTTGTTCTCTGAGTGGCCCTAATTATTTATGACAATCATAAGAACACGAGAACTGCCATCCTGCCTGTACCCTGTATCACACCATGGCACCAAGTGGATGCTGAAAGGGAGAGTGAACTGAGTCTGGACAGGGTGTTTTTCCACTGTTCCTCTCTCACTTGCAGCATCCAGCATTTAAATGAAGCTTAGCTCTGCCCCACCTCATAGTTTTCATTTCGGAAGCCTCTTGATATAGGTCAGAGACTCTGTCACTTTGCCCCCCGCAAACGGTCCCCAGAAGGGATGACAAGGTTCAACGGTCACAAACTCCTCCATGACTGTTTCAGGCTGGACATAAGGAAGAACTTCTTTACTGTCTGAGCCCCCAAGGTCTGGAACAGCCTGCCGCCGGAGGTAGTTCAAGCACCTACTTTGAACGCCTTCAAGAGACGTTTGGATGCTTACCTTGCTGGGATCCTATGACCCCTGCTGACTTCCTGCCCCTGGGGCAGGGGGCTGGACTCGATGATCTTCTGAGGTCCCTTCCAGCCTTAATGTCTATGAATCTATGAATCTCAGTATGTTCCTCAACACGCTCC